TTTCAGGTTAATTTGTCACAATTAAATATTACTTGTGGAGAGAACGCTGTATACGTATATGATGGTCTTCCAGAATTGATAGATGCAGGAACCCAAAATACATTGTCAGCTGTATTATGCAAGGAGGAAGCATTATCAGTTGGAATTATAGAATCCAGAACTGGTAAGTATAAATGTCTAAAAGAACATAGCATGGTTTGTAAGTTTCCGTTGCAGTTATCAATGGTTTTCGGACGGATTGCCACGTCGTTGGTTTAGACTTTTTAACGCTTCGAGAGACATCGCTCTCTTCGCCTCCGGCTGCCTTTAAATTCGCTATACGCACTACTTCATGGCGTTCCGCTGAAAGGCTTATGGTAATCGTTTCTAAGTTCCAGATAATTCTAACCTCTCACTTCGATTGAAATGATATCGATTCTTCTAGATTTCTATTGCCTTCTTGTAAAGTTTTACCCAAAATTTTCTATCTCGACAGAATTCTGATATTATCTAAGTCTATCGCTTGTCCTGTATCTACCTTGTACGGCGCAACTGCTAATTTTTCTAGTTTGTTATTCTTCATGTGCTCCTTTAACCTTGTACTGATGAGTCTTTCCGTTTGTCCAATGTATGTACTGGCTGATCCATTTTCGGTGGGAATTCAGGGTATCTCAGAAACTACTAAAGACTTGAGAAATCTAACACCACGTTTTAGAGCTCGATTAAGTTAAAGTTAAAGTGAAAACTGCTCAAGATTATTTCTAATAATAATACATACATGTAGGAACCATAACATTGTTTAATAAATAATAACATAATATGTAATAACATTATTTCGTGGATGGATATGCATTACCTAATTAGATATTAGTTTATCCATTGTCCATTAAGTACCTCTTTCTTTTTGTATCAACTATTATTTATCTGTTTATCACTGCTAGATTTTGTGCTGATTAAGGGAAGATGGCTTTGACAAATAATGACATAAAATGAAAGGTAAATAATAATGACAGTTGTCAGAACTGTTAGTTAGCATCTATTGTTTAGTATTTATAATTTAATAGTAATAATTTTTAATATTTTGAAAAGTTTAATATTTTGGAATGTTATATGTTGGTAAATGCAAACAGTGTGCTGTCTCCAATTTATATTTTGACATATACCTTGACAGAAGGCAGCCGAATCAAAAAATGTTTAAGAAATTGGCGGATAATTTAATTAATCATGGACCCTTCAGGCAACTCAGACCAAAAACATACAGGGTGTTTCTAAAATAGGTTTCCAAACTTCTGCTACGTTTATAATTCATTAAAATAAGCCAAGAAGTTCCTATTAAGATGTGCCCTAAAACGCACCCTTAGGAAGTTATATGCCCTTAAAAGGGCTAAAACAAAACTGGTTTTTTTTCTGTTATTGACAAAACGGTCGCAAATAAATAGAAAAAAATTTATGGGTCTTACATAATTTTTTACGTTTTTCGACATGCAAATCATATGCATCCCATTTAGGTTGGTGAAGGCGGTTTTCGGCCCGTAATTTTTTTATTTCAATTTTTTTACAATTTTCTCTACAGATTTATAAAATCTTAACAATTTTACGTAAAAAATATTATCTTTGTCCAAATCGATATTCCCAATGGTTTTCGAGTAAATTGAGTTTGAAAATTACTCTGCTATTTAAGTTATTAGGTAAAAAATTACAAAAATCTGTTTACCATGGCAAATAAAAGACTGACGTTGCCAAAACGCTTAACAATTTAAGTTATTGATAAACTGTCAATTGAGCTTTGCAGTGTTTAATTGGTAAAAGTGGTGAGTGGAAAATTTAAGTATACAACATTATTGGAACTCATAAAATGGAGTCATATACAAACTCGGAAATGGCAGATATGCACTTGAAATACCTGTCGAGAAGGAAGTCTTCTATTCGGGTATGCTGCCGCATACAGACGCCTCGCTTCTGATGCATTTCCAGCCGCACGGCCGTACATAAAGTGCATATCTGCCATTTCCGTGTTTGAATATGACTCCATTTTATGAGTTGCAATAATGTTTTATACTTATAAAGGATCTAATTTATATATAAAACACGCCGTGTCTCCTACATTTGTAAAAATAACTATAGCATGTGATATATTGCTAAAAAGCACAACGAATCTTAATTTTTTTAGGCCGTGGCCAGCTACGATTTCAAATCTAAATCTAAAAATAAGCCCAAGAAATAATCTTAAGCACTTTTCACTTTAACTCTAACTTATTTAATAGCTGAGATACAGTCATGTTCAAAAATTTCACAATCACAAGAAACGCCCTGTAACAAATGAAGATAGCAAATTTCTGATTTGACAGTCCAGTCAGATTTCTTATGCATTTAGTAGTTTCTGAGATACCCTGAATTCCCATCGAAAATGGACCAGCCCGTACACATCGAGGCCTTGAAGTAGATCGTTCCTGCAGCTTGTCTTTGGAAAGGTTGTCCTTATTTTCCTTGAGGTATTGTTGATGGACTGAATAATGTGTTTCTTTAAGATGCGACATATCTTGTCAGTACTTTCTTGTATGTAAGGGAGATAGGTTGTTACCAGAAATACTTTTTTTTTACTTTCCTTATGTATCTTTCTGATGGCGCGTTCGATAATCCTTATCGTACATTCATATCCTCTTAAAGCAGATCATAGGTGATACCATCCATGTCATAGATGGCACTTAAGTAGATAAACTATGCCGATTCAAACTCAATTTGCATAATTTTGGGTTGAAAATGGATGTCCCGGTAGACGGGCTCTGGAAGGGTCTTCTTGATTTTGAAGTTGACGTCCAAAAAGATATTCGTGGTTTAAAATAGTCGAAAATAAGGCCATCAATAGCCCACAGTTCATTCTGGCTCAATTTGCATAATTTCGGGTAGGAAATACTGTCCCGGCAGACGCGCGCCAGGGGGGTCTTCTTGATGTTGAAGATGATGTCTAAAAGGGTATTTGTGGTTTAAAATAGCCGAAAATAGGACCACCGGTAAGTGATTAATATTATTTGGGTTACCCTGTACTAGCAAAATGCATCGAATGCATAGGCAAGGTCGCAAATAACTGCAATAACCGAGATCGGCCGTCTAAACTCGCCGAGGTCGACGGTAAGCCATTCACTTCACTGTGGCCTCACGTTCTCATTTAATTAAGTGCAACATATTATATTTTTCTAAAGATGTCCATTACTGTTTCTACATACAAATTAGGCAATAATAATAAATAACTGAGTATAATTTGCTGATGCAATGAGGCTATTCGAGTACAGCACGTTTGACTTTCAAAAAAATGTTTTTAAGTTTGCATATATATAAACAGAAAATTGTTTCTATATATAAACGAGAAATTTTGACTTTAATCAAAGTATAACAGTTACAGTGTCTTTGTAAGTAAAAGTACAACAGTTAATGTACAGTGTTTTCGTCAACTACCGTAATATACAGTGACAATGAAAAGATCTATGTTATTTAGACAATAATTATTGTAGAAATAGAATCTCGTCTGTTATTGAAACAAAGTGAGTATATCAATGTTTTTTAAAGATTTCTTATTTATTCAATAATAATTTATTTGAGCACTGATATTTTCAGTATGATTTAATATTTATTATATAGTTCTGTTTAACATCTTGTTTCCCAATGACATATTATAGCATAGTCGCAGTCGCGATTCTCGTGAGTTATATTTTAACTAATTTAATATACAATGATCATGAAAAATTAGGATAATATTTAGATAAATATTTTTAAGATAATTATCCAATATATTATAAAGGTTTCTATTTGTACGGAAATCTAATTGAGCAAATAATATAATAATAATATTTATTATCTCCAATTTAAAGTACAATGGCATAACATTTTACATACATTTTAGGATGATTTAATGTTTATAACATAATTGTGCTTAACCTCTTCTTAAACTATTAAAGCAAAGAAAAAGGAGTGGAAACTATCCGACATTACTCAGATAATTAATATTTCATGTTAATTAAAAAAAGTAACTTGTTTACTTTTAGGAAAATTTCAATTTATGAAGAATTCTTAAGAAAAAGCGTGTTGTAATTTAGGTTTAAACCAAGATCTTCAATCTAACTGGGAGAGCTACGGTTTAAAAAAATATAATAATTATTAAATATATAAAATTTATTTATAAATTACAAAAGTGCCAATGCGTTTCATGTGTAATAAATTATCAAAAGTATCATCATCAATGTTGCATTCTGTTTCTACAGTGTCAAAACCACAGTTGTCACAATGAATGTGACCAAGCGTATGATTAAGAATTAAATCTATATACGCTACTGGTTCCTTATAACAATACTGATAACCTTGCAATAGGGTATTTAACCAATCATTATAGAAATTAACTTCTAATAAATAATTTTTACATTTTAAACATAATGATATATCTGGTATCACATTCATTGGACTCCATAATAAATATACTTGATTACATGGCACAAAATCAGAACTGCAATATGAATCCATGAAACTGTCATCCAAGGTCCTTAAGTACGTCCGATAGGATTAAATTATGTCCGATCCATAACATTCGTCGTCTTCATTGAACTGTATGTTGGACACGGTCATCACATTCTGCTCTGATCGTGTTGGTAAAAATTTAAATCTTGGTGATACTACACAGCGATCTAAAACAAAATACTCACATTCAATTTACACACCCTTACTCAACTACAATTACCTTCGGCACTTAATTGATCTTCTATGGAATAACACATTTTCATATTCTTTAACTTTGCTGGTGTTATGTCTGTTTATATAACAATATCTTCGAACATTAGTAATTCCCACTCTGACTAAATAACTAAATATAATCACTAAAGAGAGAGGTGTTCTATGAAAAACGAGGACTAAAAATGTTCTTAGATACAGTTGCATTTATACACGTATATGATTTTGTAACAATAACTGTATGTATGAAGGACATTTATAGAAAATTAATAATCTAGTAAGCAGATATTAACAATTGACCTCTTTTAATTTTTTTAATGTATGCGCGCCAACAAATGCAACCTCGTTGAAGTAATTCCGCTTCCCTTTCACTCAGTATTATCATATAAAAGCAGACTCGACAATATTAGTGGCATTACTTCATCAGTCTCACCAATTTCCATACAACAACAGGTAAGTCTATAATCCTTTTATCTTCAATCTAGTTACTAAACATTTTATTTATTTATTCCTAGAATGGATCTTACAAAACTAAATGAACGGTCACTTTTAGCTTTCAAACCAACAAAGTCGATAAAAGATTTGGAGATTGGAAGAAAATATTCAATCTCTAAAATTAAAAAAGTGACAACAAAGTATGGGGAAAGCTTGGTAGCAGAGTTGGATGAGTATCAGGTGTTCCTACCCAATCGACTCATGGGAGAAATAGGAGATCATTTAGATGAATTTGAAGATAACCGATACAGCATAGTCAGCCACGGTGAGAAAAGCAATGATACATTAAATTTTTCAAAAACTGTTGCCATAGAATTCCTTAAAAATATATAATTTAAGGTGATAAATATGGATAATTTAAGTGACGATATAGTAAAAATTGTTGGAAAAATTTTTTTAAATTTAAGTCGTTCAAAAAATGTGAAAAATGAAACTTTGTTAAAATATATATCATATTGTAACGAGAATATTAGGTCGATGAATAATGCTCTTTTAAACGTTGAAAGTAATATATCACTTAAAACTAAACTTCAAACAAACATTGGTCATTTGAGAAAATACAGACAGTTGTTAAGATCTCTTGATAATATTTATCTGGGCGGTGGTTTATCTGAAAATAAAAAATTAAAATTAACACCAAAACGAAGCCAACGAATTCGGTGGGAAGATGGAAAATCTGCATTTTCAAGTAGAATTCGAAGCGGTTTAGTAATAAATATTCTTCATACCGATCCATTGGAATTTTTAAAGGATTCATTTTTTTTATTTAAACCCAGAATTTTAAATGAATTAAAAAAGGATCCAACAGTTAAAGTCAATGCGGTGTTGTGTTGTGAATTTATTAAAGAAAGTGTTGATGAGGATAAGCAAGTTAGACAATTTAAATATTTTAATACGAAAAATAATTTAATTGATTTAGGTACGGATTTGTGGCAATGGTATCGAGATAATATTAGTGACAAAATAATGAACAAGTTAACGGAATTTCATGAGGGGCAAAGTGGCTGGGCACTCAACCGCATTGAAAGCCTAGAAATTAACATTAATAAATATGAATTTTCTAATGGAGGTACATCATATATTGAACTTCCGCAAGAAATTAAATTGAAAAGAGCCGTGATAAATATCAAAAATACCGATCAGTTCTGTTTTGCCTATGCTGTTGTAAGTTGTCTGCATCCCGCACAAAAAAATCCGGATCGTATTAGTTCATATCCCGACTTTCATACTGTATTGAATTTTACAGGAATAAATTTTCCTGTGACCATAGAACAAATACCGAAATTTGAAAAATTAAATAATATTTCCATTAATGTTTACATATTAAAATTAAATGGGAAAATTTATTCCGTTGTTCCCGCGTACATTTCAAAGGAAAAATTACCGACGCATGTAAATTTGCTTATGATTCAAAACAAATATTACTCAGATAATGACGTTAATTATGCGAAAAATCAAAAAAATTTTGAAATCAAATTTCATTTTACCTGGATTAAATATCTTTCGAGATTGCTTTCGAATCAGCTTACAGGAAATGGCCATGCAATATTTATTTGTGATAGATGTTTAAATTACTTTCGACATCAAGCACAGTTAGATAAACATGAAGTGGAATGTGCGCGAGTTAATACATGTAAAATTTCGTTCCCAGAAGACAAATATTTATTTTTCAAAAATTTTAAATATAAGGAACCTGCTCCTTTCATTGTTTATTGCGAATTTGAAACTTTACTAAAACCGTTTGATGATATTAGCGGTAGTAAAACGGAGAGATATCAAAAGCATGAAGCATTTGCCGTGGGTTATTATTTCAATTGTAGTTATGATAAAAGTCTGTCTCACTATAAAAGTTATGTAGGATTAGACTGCGTGCAGTGGTTTGTAAGGGAACTAGAAAATATTGGTAAATTTGTGGATGAAAAATTAAATTTGGTAGTTCCCATAGAAGCTTAAAATCAATTTAAAAAACAACTTGTTGTCATATATGTACGAAACCGTTTAATGAAGAAGATAAACCCGTTCGTGACCACTCACATCTAAACGGCAAATTTAGGGGCTGGTGTCACTCCAAATGCAACTTAAATTATAAAAACACCTTCATTGTTCCCGTAGTTTTTCACAATTTGACGGGGTATGACAGTCACGTGATGATTAAAGATGTAGCTCAGCTATGTCCTGGTCGTATAACGCTGTTGGCGAAGAATAAAGTCGTTTACCAAACATATTCCAAATTCTTCGATAAAATTTAGGTTTATAGATTCATTTAGATTTCTAACATCATCGTTAGATAAATTAGCATCTATTTTACGGAAAGAAGATTTAAAAATATTAAAAACTGAATTTTCCCATTTAAATGGTGAATCTTTTAACTTAATTACTCGAAAGGGAACATTTCCATATGATTACATAAATTCCATGCAAGTTTTGAAAGAAACATCACTTCCTAGTTCGACTGATTTTTATAACAAGTTAAATGATGAAGATATTTCAGAAGATGACTACAATCACGCTCAAAAGGTGTGGAGTGTTTTTAAAATTGGTAATCTTCAAGAGTATACTCAATTATATTTAAAAACTGACGTTTTGCTATTAGCAGATATTTTTGAAAATTTTCGAGAAAGATGTCTAAATACGTATGGATTAGATCCCGCTCATTACTATACGCTTCCGGGATATACTTGGGACTGTATGTTGAAACATACAAATATTAAATTAGAATACTTGCAAGACGTCGACATGTTATTGTTTTTAGAAAGAGCAATTCGTGGGGGAGTAAGTCAATGTTGTAATAGATATGCAAAAGCTAACAATAAATATATGCCTAACTACGATCCAAACAATCCTTCTAATTATTTACTATATTTTGATGTAAATGGACTTTATGCTTGGGCAATGTCGCAATATTTACCATATGGGGAATTTCAATGGGTTGAAGACGTTGAAAATTTTGATGTACGTTTAGTAGCTGATGAGTCAAATATTGGTTACATATTGGAGGTTGATTTAGGTTATCCAAATAATCTTCACGATTTGCATAGAGACTTACCTTTATGCCCCGAACATAGAATTCCACCAAATTCAAAATTACCAAAATTAATGACAACTTTATTTGATAAGGAACATTATATAATGCACTATAGAAATTTGAAACAGTGCCTCGATTGTGGCTTACATATAAAAAAAATTCATAAAATTCTTCAGTTTAAACAATCTGCTTGGTTAAAGGAGTATGTAGACTTAAATACATCGCTTAGAGCAAAAGCAGCTAATGAATTTGAAAAGAATTTGTTCAAGTTGATTTTAAATGCTGTGTTCGGTAAAACAATGGAAAATATTCGGAAGCATCGCATTGTTAAATTATTTTCAAATTGGGAAGGAAGATACGGGGCTAAGAATTATATATCGAGTCCCACTTTTCATAGTAGTTCGATTTTTGATGAAAATTTGGTAGCGGTAGAACTTAATAAAACTGAAATAGTATTCAATAAGCCTCTGTACGTAGGTATGTGCATTCTGGACATTTCTAAAACATGCGTGTACGACTTTCACTACAACTTTATGTTAAGAAAATTTAATATAGAAAACTGTAAATTACTATATACCGACACGGATAGTTTGATATATGATGTACATTGTGATGATTTTTATTCAATTATTAAGGAAAATTCTGAAAAATTCGATACAAGTGACTATAAACAAAATAATGTCTATTCGATTGAACAAAAAAATAAAAAAGTGGTTGGTTTAATGAAGGACGAAAATAATGGTACCATTATGACTGAATTCGTTGGCTTGCGATCAAAAATGTATAGCATTAAATGTGGAGAAATCTGTAGGATTAAAAAAAATATTGTAAAGAAGCATATTCAATTTGAAGACTACTTGACATGTTTAAAAGACTTTAAGGAGGTCTATAGAACTCAGAGATTAATTAGATCTTATTTACATGAAATTTATTCGGTGAAACAAATTAAACTTGCTTTAAGCCCATTTGATGACAAAAGAATTTTGAAAGAAGATAGCACGGATACTTTACCATATGGGCATTATTCAACGCTTTAATGTTTTTGCAGTTATCTTGAAATGTATTTTTGTAGCTTTAATTCAAATGTAATAATCGTCACATACTTTAAGAATGTTACAAGTTAAAACTAGTTTATGTAGTCTACCTTCATAAAATAAGTAACGATGAGCATATTTCCGATGTATTAATTTTTTAATAAAAGATACATTTATCGTTTTTTATTTTAGAAAAATTTAGGAAATATAAAAGTTTTCATAAAGGTAATATACATTCGTTAATGAACACATACATTTTGATTTCTTATGATAAAAACATCGGGGCTCTGCAAGTTGAAGTGATGGATGTTCTTCCAACTCGTATACCGGAGTTGATGAATATTCTCTAATATATATGTGGCTTTCTCCCGTCCCTTCACATAGACAATGTTCTCGGATAATATTGGTAAAATTGTGAAACGGTACATGTCCTTCGTTCCAATCTATACAGTGATAATTATTTGTCAACCATGTGACTTGCTTTTCTAAATCAGTCGACAGAAGCTGTCTAGAAAATGGCGGTTTAAAAATATAGTGAGCCGTTTTGGTGCCATTGTAAGCCGCCAATTCTCTCAGAATAAACTTATTTTGTTCCAAAATTAGTGGCATTAATTATATAGCTTAGACCTGTCCGACAATTTTCGTTAAGGGGTTATATCGGAACAAACGATCATGTAAAATTAAACAGTATGCTGTGGTCTCACTTGGAACATTACTTGACATTTCCCATTCTATTCGTAAAATGACAGCTCCTGATTGAATGGTTTCTTTTTGATGGGAGCAATCAATATGAGTGACTGGAGCAATGGATTTAAACTCTTTTGGTGTAAATATGCGCTCGTTTTCTAATTCATAAAACGATTTTCGGAAGCTGGCAAACATTTCGTATAATGTGGCGAATTTGTTGTTGTTAAAGTCAAGGAATAGGTCGTGATATGGATATCTTTCCGAATTTAAAAATACTCTTATATTTGTAAGACCACAGTCCTCAAATTTGCTCATATTTGAGGTGACCTTATTTTTCTTATCTGTCTGAAAGGCAACAACAATATGACGAGGCGTCTCCAACTTGGTGGTGGTTTTCACGGGCCAAGTGTGTCTTGTAGTTTGTGAAAGGGAAGGGTACTCTACAAGTTCCCAACTTCTAAATGGAACCAATATCTCCACATTTTTATCTAAAATTTTAGTCAGGGCCAGTTGTTGGGGGATTCCTACGGAAACGTGAGGTACTCTCCAATAGATTTTTTCAATGTTAATTTTAGGTTTTTCAGTCTCATCGATAGCCGTTACTGCATCTAGATCATTGCTACTTCGAATCAGAACCAGTTCCTGCTTCATATTTAGTATAATTTTTCTATAGTCTTCGAAAAAGCCCAGTAGCATTTTAAGAGGAATGCATACATTAAACTTGTCGCCTTCGAGTGTGCTTTGTTTGGGAAACCATCCAGAATTCTGAAGTTTAACGCTCTCGCTTTCATTGTACGATAGATACCCCTTCAACGTTGACGTTAGTCCTACGTTTCTAACGGAATCGATGATTACTCCATTCATTTCATATCGAATTTCCCTGAAGAGGAAACTGAAAGCGTTATTTATAAGTTTTAATTTGGTAACCGATTTTCCATCCTCTGTAGTCAAATTTCCTTCCAAGTATAGCATACTTTCACAAGGTAAAGTATAGATGTCCAATTCCTGAAGTGATATCCTTACTTCATCATTGTAGCCCAATTTAGAGGTCACGAAAGGTTGGTAATTGTGATACTCCAAGTCGACGATGGAATTGTCGATGAGAGGTTGCTGCATAACATCTAGTATATCCATTATATGAGAACTTCAAAACCGAGAGACTTCAGGAATCTCTTGTTTTCCGGTGTTACTTTAATAACGTTCTTCTTCGGACTAACGGCTGATTGGTTTTTGGATCTTCTTTTATAACTGCGTTTCGTCGTAATATTTGGTCGACAACATTTTGTATTGTAGCGAACTACCATCTCTAGAGCTTTCGAAGATTTAATCTGACTGAGATAGTTTCCTCGCGAAAATTTATAAGATTTCCGTCCTGATCGAGTATTTTAACAGTCAAGTTGTTGATCGTCTTAACGGTTACGGGGAAGTACAAGATGTTCAGAGGTGATTCCACTATTTTATATCCTGGTCCCACGGTTGGAAAAAACTGATGAATAATGTGAACAGGTTTTTCGTTGAAATATGAACCTGCCGCTATGTTACAATCTATGCATATAGCATTGACTTTAATTATTTGGACAGGAAAATCAGACTCGTTCAGTGTATTAGCTTTAATAATTCTTTTTTTGAAACCCAACAGACGTCCTATGGATTTCTTATTTGTAAAATCTATGTCAACATTAGTATCAATGCTGACAGTTGATGTATTTCGATTGGCTCTAATGTTAATATTGGCAGTTGATATTTGTTGTTGTAGGTAATTATTGATATCGGTAATTTCATAAGCTCCAACTGGAATTGTTAGTGTCGTATTACCATACGTAAACTTATTGTTTGTTTCATCGATGTTTGGAATTACGTTGAAGGTTTCAAAATCTGATAGACCAACCACATATTCAGCGTCATCATCTAAGTATATTGGTGGGTTATAATCTGCACTTAAAATAGACGTATTTCCAGATAAAGTCAAAGTCAGAGACATGTTGAACAGTTAAAACTTTATTTATAATAAACAGATTTTCCTCAATTACATACATTATATAAAAATTTTAAACATAGGTGTCCACAGTTTATTGCATTATCTCGTTGGAATTTATCATGATTATATTTGATTGTATTTAAGCTACCATCGCTATAAAAATATTTTGTTACTGCATTCGGAGGTCTCAGATTACCATAACTATCAAAGTATAATATCGTCTTGTTTTTCTTTACGTATGCCGTCCAGTGAGTGCCTGGTCCAGACGAAATATCCAAATTAACTATACCACATTCGTTTCTTCTTATCTTTACTGGTAGGGCATCCTGCATGTACACTCCTCGGAAATGTGGAATACGTAACTTTTTAGCAAATTTAATTAAATCTACATTAGTCAGTGCACGACGAGGTAGCTTTATTGGGAGTTTTTTGATGGTAAATAAAGCCCCATTCCTTTCCTATAAGGACGCAGATATAAGCCTTTTCCAAGAGCAGCCTGTTCCATGACCAGATTATGTCTTTTTTCCTCCTCCATTTTTTCCTTTGCGGCTTTCGCATCGTTCACAGCTTTCGCTATTCCAGCAGCTCCACCGCCTATACTTCCAAGAGCACCTAATGCGGCAAATAGAGGAATGAGAGGAAGAAATCCACCAGTTTTGGGAATCGGAATTATCCGCTTTCGTGGCCTAGTTATCCTTTTCGTTCCTATTGATGATAGAGCTTGCTTTACTACTTCACCGAGGTTACTAGATGGTTTACCCCGAATACCCTGTCGAGCTTTTTGTACTGCTTGGTTAAAACTTAGAGCCTGACCTCGTTTACGTTTCACAAATTTCTTCTTCTTCTTCTGTAATCCCATTCCTAGCTTAGTTTTGACTTTCATTGCATTGGCAACAGCCCACGCTGCAGTCTTTTCCCCGAAACTGGCGTCCTTAGATTTAACCCTCTCCCAGGCACGTTGTTCAAGGATGCGGTCTGCCTTATGACGATCTTCTATATTAGAGCTGTCACTGTATGATATGTCGTGAGCGAGGCATGCGTTATCCAAAGGATTAATGCCAGTATCACCCCTAGCAAGCCTTTTTTCAAGCTTGGTACCTGGTCCACAAAAGTTGTAACCAGGAATGTGTAGTTCTATCGGAAGTTTATTTATAAGCGTATTAAGAATCCCAGAACCTCTCTTTACTCGCTTTATCTGTCGATTAACTGCGGATAGGTTGGGCACAAGCATTTATATATGCTCTGGCGTGACACTTCAATACAACTGAATTTAATTGATAGTTTTATACCTTATAAATACTTTACGTACTACGTTAACGTACAGTACATACAATTTTCCTTCAGAATGAGGATCGAGAAACAGAACATTTCGCTACCGGTAACCAATCACGATGATAATATTTCATTAAGTAGGTTTAAGAAACACGGCCCACTTTTTGGAGACTGTTCTAAGCGAGGACTCGTTGTTGGCGTTTCTGGGTCTGGTAAAACTAACGTCATAATAAGTTTATTGGCGCACCCAAATGGTTTGAGGTTTGAAAATGTATACGTTTACTCAAAATCCCTATACCAACCGAAATATGAGTATCTGAAACAGCTACTGGAACCCATCAAAGAGATTGGATACTATGAGTATCAAGATGGCAACGATGTCGTTCCTCCAAGTGAAATAAAACCCAATTCTATTATAATATTCGACGATGTGGTATGCAGCAATCAGAGTGTTATGAGGGATTATTTTTGTTTTGGGCGACATAAAGATACAGACTGTTTCTATTTAAGTCAAACATACTCATCGATTCCAAAACAACTAATACGAGATAATGCAAACTTTTTGGTGATTTTCAAACAAGATCTCACTAATCTGAAACACATTTACGATGATCACGTCAACGTTGACATGTCTTTCCAAGAATTTAAATATATCTGTGGAGAATGTTGGAAAGATAGGTTTGAGTTCTTGCTTATAGACAAAAGCTATCCTTTGTCTAGTGGAAGATACAGAAAAGGCTTTGATGCTTTCATTGTTCTGTAGATCATAAATAAACACGGAATTATCGATGCCGCTCATTAACATGTCAACCATGAATAAGGAATTAGCAAGGCAGTTGGTTAAAACCAGAAAATCAGTGAAACAAAAATATCAAAGTTTGAAATCGGATATAGCTCAGTCGCAGTCTCAGTTGGAAAAGAGTTACAAACCTATAACGGAACCTTTACAAAAACTACTGTCCACCATTAAGACCGATGTGACGGTCAAGCAAGAACCGGCAGAAATAAAAACTGAATCGAGGTCTTCCACACCAAAAAGTTCCAATGTTAATCCCTACACCTACTATTTACCAATGAATATACCGAATTTTTTAGAAGATACGTATGAGACGGAAAAAACCGCTGAAACAGATCAACAAAACAGTGACGAATTAATGAATCAGAAAGTGGAGCAAAGTCGTGTCTTTCTTCAAGATCTTTCAAACACACAAGCTTATAATGAATACCTAGAGATGTACCATCCTCTTCCCAGACAATATATAGATTTATCTGTTAGAGGAGATGAGACAGACAGTGACCGTCAGTATGGAGTGAAACATGACCTTGAAACGGAGAAGTTTAAAATTGGAGGCTCCGATTTAGAAATCATTGGAAAAGATTTTAAAGTAAATGGAGTGACGTATGTTGGAACACCTGGTCTGTACGAGTTGCTCTTTAAAAAGAGCCTACTGGATATAAACAATCGGATTTGGATGACTATATGGATATTGTAAATAGATCTAATGCTTATCGTAGACACTTCAATCCTGAAGAACAAATTCAAGGCTCCCAGGGTGAAAAATACAGGACAATTAGAAAACCATATTTAGCAAAGAAGGGACTATTGAAAACTGCTTCTATTCCAAAACCATTCTCAAAGCCGCCCCCACCCACTAGACCACTGCGTAGAACGCACTCGTTACAACACTATACAAAAGGTGGTCTGTTAAATTTAACGGATAATAAAATAGATTATGTGTACTACGATGATCCAAATGAACTAATAAATAGATTACGTCTCCTAATCGCTTCACAATTAGCAGGAAATGACTCTGTGGGCAACGAAATTTTTTTTATAATTGAGGAAATGAGAGAAGCTAAAATTATAAAATAACCTTCAACATCCTCAAATGAACACTTTATCTCCATCCTTTAAATAGTCAGCATGCCTATCGATAAATTTGGTCGTCATATGTTAAGGGGCAGATCAGTTCCTTATTCCCAGTCCATGTTAACCTCTTCACCACAGTCATTACCTTTTTATATTTGTGAGCCTTCGTTACATCATAGTAAAACCATAATAAAAATAAAAGGCCTGAAACAGCATTCTACAAAAGTGGGTCTCTACACTTTGGACAACAATAAAGAGGAATATATCTT